GGTTCATTCTTTGTTGTTGTTTTTTTTTTTCATTTAAAAAAAAATTGCAAAAACAAAACAAGCATGTGATTTTTTTGTTTTTCTGTTTTTAAAACAAAATTAGAAAAACAGCAATTGCAAAAATAAAAAAGGTGTATGTTTTTATTTACTGCAGTGATTAAACCAAAGACAAGCCAAATCAAATTCTGGAAGTGGTCATTCAACTAGACCTGTTACAAAAGGACAACCGACATTACCAACTTTTAATGGTAAAAATGGGGAGGGGGCTTTTTTTCAAAGTAATATTTTTACCTTGATAGCTTAAATCTGTGAGAAAGAGCGCAGACAGAAGCAGAGCCACTGTGAGGGAAGACGACAAAACATGGAAAGCTTTAATATTTCAAACATTCAGAACTTCTGCAACTGAAACAAAGAAATATTACTTGTTTTCTAACAGTCATAAAAATCATGAGTTTACAAGAAATGATGTTTGATCAGAAAACTGTCAGAAAATCAAAAATTTATATTGAAATAAAGCTTCGACGTCCACCTGCAGCTCCACATTTAACCACCAGAGGGAGCGCTTTACATATTTTACATCGAGTTACAACTTCTGATGAAACATAACTTGTTTTAAATGCTTCAGCCTGAAAACCGTTTCTGACTCCTGTCAGAAACTGTCTGATGGACCCGGCAGGACTCCAGGTTCTGCTCAGCTCTCTGAGGGTTGCAACATGTGATGATTCAGGTTCAGCTCTGGACTTTGACTGTTCCACTACACCTGCATTTTTTTTTTTTTCAGTTAGGCTGTTGTAGATCAGCTGCTGTGTTTTGGATCATGGTTCTTGTTGGGTCCAGTTTGGTCCAGTCTTCAGCTGTCAGACAGATGGACTCACATTTGACTGCAGAACTCTTCGGTCTACAGAGGAGTTCTTGTATTCAGCAGCCATGTTTTCATCCAATTTTAATGTGAGTTTTGAACAAACTTTTAAAATGTTGAAAAAAAAAAGAAATGTGAATCAGGCCATTTCATTTACTGCTTTGGAGCAGATCAACCAGGATATGTGAATTTAATGTCAGACAGGCAAGATGGCGCACCGGGTGCAACCAGAGTTGTAAGCGCCATGTGTTTGCCCCAACTTTACTTCACTTCTGTAGTGGAAACGTGAATATCTTCTCAACAAGAGACAGTCAAACCGTTTATAACTATAAAAAGCATCTGTGAAGTGTCAAAACAATACCTTGGTACTCTAATTTAATTACTGTAATAATC